AATGACTGGCAACAGGTTAAGAAATACTAACTCCTTCCTTGGTGACGGAAAAAGTGCTGTCCTGTCGCAGCACTTTTGTCCTGCTTGCATTCGTCCACGATATAGGCTCCGTCAGGACACAATGATCTGAAAAACCCGGCCGGCAGGTTCCAAGCCCTCTGTGGCCATTGACTCGCCAGCCGACAGAAAATGGCTGTATTGTGTTGGCGTGACATTAAAGAGAGATCAGAAAGGGAGAGGAAAGACACGGCAGGTAGGAACAGGTACCCACCACGCCCGCCAAGAAAACCAGAGACGTACGAGGACTTTCCCCGAACAACCGCTCATGTTTAAAGACTCAAAATCGCAAGCAGAGGTTCACCCGTTTGTCCCTTATAGATGCTTCTAAAAACGAATCGGAGGTGTCCCACAGTAATCGCTTCATGATTTAGTTGTTCCTTATTGACTGTGTGATGACTATGCTTTTCGCTGTGTCTCGGTGTTCTCCATGCCAACAGTAAAATCAATACGCCCACCACGGCAAAAAAAAAGTTTTTAAACATCACTGTGTTTTCTTTTGCTTGAAAATTACCCTTACAGCTCACGGATGGCTCACTCCTGCAGCACTGGATAGAAACACGGTGAGCGACAAAGACTCTGGGCTTTTGCCAGGACCCGCAACCTCCTGTAAGTGCAAACCTGCATCCATACACATCCCCTCCCCCTCTCCCCTCACCTCGAGTATAAGGCTTAGCCACCACCCCTAAAGTAGGTGGCCATTTTAGGACATCTCATACTCCGCTCTTGGTCAGACGTAGCTGTATACTTTTTGTCATCTTAAGCTGGCCTTTGTCGCGCTCGACCCCGCTGTGTCAGCCTCAGCTGTTCTTTGAGCTTAAGGCTAGCATGACTGTTCAAATATAGGCACTGCTTGCGTATTCAGGTGTTGTACACGGGCGTTAAAAAATCACCGTAATGTCTCGACGCCTAGTTTGATTTGATTAGTGACGTTATAGTTGAACGCTTACTTGTTTGACTGCCGAAAGACCCACGGTAATCGACGCCAATATGGAACAGGAGATGGATTTTATCTGCCCGTCGGAAGGAGAAAAAAAAGTGTCTCTGTTTGCATGAAACTAGTTGTGAAGACAGAAAATGACAGTAGTAAAACAGTAATATAATCAATTTATTACAACCGTAGCCTCCTACTTTAGGTGATTTTTAGTGTCCCCATAACAGTCGTTTGCTTCCCGGTCGTCTGTGATTTCCTTTCCTTCCGCCTTGAATTTATTGACACAAAGGCCCAGTTGCCAGACTGACAAACAAAAAGAGGGGAGCTGAGATGAAACATTAGGAGCGATTATGAAAGACGTTATGGTTGACGCTCAGGGTGTGATATAATTGTCATTTGAGTTATCGAAAAAGGGGGTAAGGTCCTAAAAGTGTTCGTTATGGAGGCAGTGCCGTATTCCTGAACGGCATTTCTCTTCCACATTTGTGTTTAGCCACTCTGTATGAAATTGATACAGGTATTGGTCTGTGGGGGAAAAGGGACAGAGAGATTAACATGGCAGAAAATTGTTAACCAGATCGTTTATGATAATCATGTGGTTATTTTGTGTGCAGTTTACAATTTTTTTTTCTTCCCATTTTTAACTCCATACAATTGATTTGTGTTTCATTTTTTCATGCCACGGTATTGTCTATTGTTTGTTTCAGAAAAGGTTTATGTTGTGGAAGTTTGTAACAAGTAGAGGCAGAGCTTGGATATCGGAGGAGGTCAATGACATTCATTTTCTCACCTGTTTCCTCAGGTCCAGTAAAACCATGAATCTCTGCTCCAAATGTTTTGCTGGTAAGTGTTCACTCACTACACACTGTCTTAAAATTACAAAGATCATCATAAGCTAATAACTTATTAACATCTAGTAAAAAAAAAAAGAAGTAATTAAACAGAAATGACAAAAAAAAAAGGTTTGAAACTGGTAAATAAAATAATTTTCACTAATACTATAACCACATGGTTTCTTCATGGCTGAAGTCGCAGTTGTCATGAAATAAATGTACATGGATGTGAGGTTGAACACCTGGCAAGTCGTGCCTGTGATTGAAATGTTGCTCTCTCGCTTAAATTGTACAGCACATAAATGTGACTAGTGTTTTAGGCCTGTAAGCCAAAAGAATAATCACTTCTGCCTCGCTTACCTGGAGTTGTTCACCTGTAAAATGTACAATTGTTAACTGATGCAAAGGAACTCATTTATGCTCAGAGCCAAAGAGAACATTGAATTTCATGTTTCCAACCTCTAAAATCGTCTTTTAATCTTACTTTCAGCTGGCTCTTGTCACATATAAATGGGGGAAACAGTTCCACATTTGTTTTTACTGTTGAGTTTCTTCTTGGCACGCAGAGCTGTTCTCTCAGACACAGCTATAGCAGAAGCTTGAGGCTAGGTGTGCCAGTTGATTTCGGTTAGGAATGCTAACAACGCTAAGAAGCCATTCTGGGAAAATGGGAAGACCGAGTAGTCTCACTACAAAGTGATGTATCCGCCATTTGGAGGAAAATATTGAAAGGTAAAAGGTAATTGCCTTTTTAGGGAATATCGGATTCTATGATAAACAATTACCTTAAATTGCTTTGTAGAGAGTCGTAGTGTTTGGAAAAAGAGCAATGAGTCTTAGTCTGGTAACCTCCTTCAGCATTTTGTTCTGAAATAAATGTAGAAAGTTTGCTTTTCCACAACGTGAAGGTTTCTGACAAAGAAAAATGCCCAATTAAAGTTTGAAAATGTCAAGGTACACATTGAGTTTTCTCAATGACTCCTCCAGTCTGGTTTGGGAGGATGGGTTGAGGGTGCACTGCGGCCCTGTCGGTGGCCATGGCAACCAGTGAGTATGGCAGACAGCGAGGACCTAAGGGCCCCGCTTTGAGTCTAGCATCACAGACGGCAGTAACGCTCAGAATAGACTCAATACACATGAGTATAGAAGCCGAGCAGAAGTGGGTTAGTCCACACGTGGAGGAGAAACTGAAATCTAGGCTGACCTCCGTCACCCTCCCTGGAGGGGAAAGAGTAAAGACAATACTCTCGTGGATCGATAACATCCGATTATCATTATATAGAGAGGTCCGAAGTGCAGCCCAGTTCTCCAAGGTGATCATGTCTTTCTCTTACCCAGTCATGTTTCACTTGGCAAAGTTAACTTGTAGTCATGTGGTCATGTAGTTAAGAGCAGGGACCTGGAAGACTTGGACATATAAAAGTTGAAAAGGTATTTTTTGGGGTGTTGAATTTGTCTTTATTAGACAGACCACTGTGGTGAAAACTGCCCATCACAATTTGCCAGAGCGCTAGAGGAAGTCTAACGACAACCAATTTACTATCATCAACGACTAAAGTAGAACCAAGGAGATAATATTTGTTTAAAAACTACTTGAATAAATAATCACTTAATGACTCAATGTTACCAATTAATTGTATGCTACTTGACCAATCAACTCGAGCTCTAATTCAAATTCTACTTTGCATAATGTCCATGGGTGCTTAGGGCCATTTGATTTTCCCGATCAAAAAAAAAAGAAGCGGGAATTTAATCCTTTAAAGCAGCTAATTGTCAACTGACCGAATTTCCTTAAACGCACCAAAGGAAGAGTTTTCTAAACCGATGTGTGACATGTGACTTAATGTTTGACACCAAAAGACAAGCAGGTGACTAAATGTTTGCCTTAATGGATCAACCAAGTTTCAAAACACCCTGTAACATGATGTTAGGAAACTGTACACACATTTACATTTACCAAGCAGCCGTTGTGTAATCATCGCACAGACAGGAAAAACGTCTCCTTAGTTTTAATTGAATATTCATACATAAATGTCTTGAAAGGTGCAGCTTTACTATGTGCAAACTATCAGTAATGTTTGCCTGGTACCCTATTTTCAACACACTTGTACTTATATACTACATATAACCTGTTATTACAGACTTAGTCAGGAGGTTTGGGGTGTGCGCCTGCATCTCCGCACTACGCACCATAAACAGGCGGATGAGTCCAGATCTGAGTGTTTTGACAGTTTCTGCGTCGTCCCTCTTTTCTTCTCTTCCTCCCTCTCTGTCTGTATCTATTTCCCTGTCCTATTTTTACATTTCTCTCTGCTTGCTTGCTCGCTGTCCTTGACCACAGATATCCAGAAGAAGCAGCCAGGGGAGGACTGCACCTCCAAGCCTATCCAAAGCACTGGGAGTAGCCAATCGCCAGTTTTCAGTAGCGAGACGAGCAGTAGCAGTACCCAATCCCTATTGTCGTCGCCGCCCTCTAGCTCCGAGCAGCCATCAACCGAAGAGCCCTCGCCCACGTTTCCCAGCACGAGGGAAGGTAAGATGGGGCAACCAGTGATATCCACATCAAGGAAAACAAAATAATGCAGGGTTTTATGTTCTGATTTTTTTTTAAATGTCCTAAAACAAAGACAAAAATGTTTAGGATGTATCACAGACTGGATACGTGCAGCGATATGTCCACTGCAAGCTGTTGATGAGGAATGCACCGTCTATTCTTTACGTCTTTAAATCCAGTGAGAAAGTACAGAGTGAGCTAGAGCGAGACAAACAGGAGGTAAAGTTATGACTGGGTTCAGTTCACAGGCCGGTGGGGCGCTGAACCTTTTCGACTACTCGCACCGAGGAAGCATAATTTAATCTGGAGTGCATCGCAGAACTCAGGAAATCATTTCATACTGTAATTCTCAAGAAAACATCAGCAGTGTTTCTTTTATAGATATCAGTAGTGTGACGTCTTTGAGGTCGGACCAGTCGTACAAGCACTGTGTTTACCATGTATGTCTCTGTACTGACTGTGTTATAAAGTCACCATTATTTAGTCTATTTTGGAGTTCTAAAATTGTAACCTTCTTTGAGCAAGTGAAACATGCCAATTGGGAAAGAGAATTTGATTTATTTCCGCTACAAATGGTTCAAAGAATGTTTTAGATGTTTGTTCTGTAATTTGCTTTGGAAAAGTAGTGCAATTATCTAGCCCTGCTGGATAATTAAATCTTTCAAATCGAACATCTAAAGAGTAATCTAATGACTAAATAATCGTTTTTAATAAGTGTTCATTGAAATCTCCCGTTGTGGAGTAGAAAGTATTTCTGCTTCTTTCTCAACATGACTCAACCCTCAAATATTACTCAGTAATATTAAAGATGTAAGATTCTTGTTATGACAGTCAGTCGCCTGTCTTCATTTACAAGTGGAACTAATATGGAGGACTGTTTGATGTTCAAGTGTTTGTAAAGAGGTTGCTCTTAATAGAAAAAACAAATGATTTTTCTTAAAGGGTGGTTCATCAGAACATGTAATATTTTGTTATTTTATTGTGTTTTTTCCCCTCAACATGGATGCATGGTATGGGAAGAGAACATTTAATATCTTGTCTCACACCACACGTCTCTTCATTTTCCGTCTGTAGGCGTGTCGTCCACAGAAACAGCCCAAGGCACACTCTGCACACCCACAAAACGTCCACGAGAGTCAGGTACAGTCAGCCTCTTCGTCCTGCCAGTGGCTCCGCGTGACCTGCCCCACTTTGAGCGCTAACCCTGCCGCTTGCTTTTCAGCGTCGGGCTCAGAGAGCGAGGCGACGCCAGAGAAGCGGCCACGGACAGACGAGAAGGAGGGGAGCAGCGAGGAGGCCCGCGGGACGCCCAAGCAGAAGAATCGCCGGCGCTGCTATCGCTGCCAAACCAAACTAGAGCTGGTGCAGCAGGAACTGGGCTCCTGCCGCTGTGGTCAGTACCAACACATCAATGTAGTCACGTGTCATTTTTAAAGGCTGCACGAACTTCCTCCTTCATACCACCGCTTTAAAACTGACTGACTCTGTTCACCCACTGTGGTTGAAAATGTGTCGAGCAACAAAGTCAGCTGCTGTGGTGTTTTAGGTTGACCTGAAAAACTGAAAATACATAAACCACTGCCATATAGCAGGTATGTCAGCACCTGCTTTTATTCTTACTTTTGAGCATATATTTTACTTTTTACTTTTAAAGGCACAGTTCGTAACCCAAATGAAAAAAAAAACAAGATATACTTTAAGCTGATTTAATTAAAGTGTTCATTCTTAAAGTAAATTAGTAAAATTATTAATCTTTTACAATGCTGTTGTCAGTTTACATGTGTATTTTTTGCAAACACAAGTAAAACAGGCAAGATTTTAAAATATTAAAAACTGATGAACCCCAAAAAGGCTTATTTTATAAGTCTATAATGCATGTGAATGAAACACACATTTGCATTGGCAAACCACTTAATGTTCCTTCCCAAGTAAAAAAAAAAAGCCATCAAAACACCTGTGCACATGGCACAAGTATGATGTATGTTATTATATTATTTAAAAGCTATATTCTTATTCTTATTACTGATCAATGTATCCCGATAACCGATATTGATACCAAACTGCAATTTTCACTTAAAATTAAATCTCAAATATGCCAGTGTCATATTTAGGAACCACTGGGGGAAAAAGTAGACCTTGAGTTAAGATAATTTATATAGAATTTACCAAGAGTAAATTTAACACCTTTCCTGGATCACTAAAATCTAGGATCTAGTATTATTGTACATAAACAGATAATACACCGAGCTGCGCTTTATTCAGAATCATAACATTTTCGAAATGGCCCAATATTTCTGTCCCTTTCTCTTCCATTTGGGTGAGGAAAGTAGTGCAAATCAGTTGGAGGACTCGGTAAGAGGCTTGCTTTGCTGCGTTTGTGTTTGGCAACGAGCTCTACGCGGTAAAACCACTGTGATATTTTCTCCCATGCAAAGCGGGAGCAGTGGAGCATTTATCGGGGTCACTTCCTCCCTCACCGCTCTGCTCTCTGTTTCCCTCCCAGGCTATGTATTCTGCATGCTTCACCGTCTACCCGAGCAACACGACTGTCTGTTCGACCATCTGGGCCGCGGGCGTGAGGAGGCCGTCCTCAAGATGGTGAAGCTGGACCGCAAGGTGGGCCGCTCGTGCCAACGCATCGGGGAGGAGTGCTCCTGATTGGCCACACGGTGACCAGCCATCCAGTTAGAGATGAGGCGCTTACAAAGAGGAG